TTCCGGTCATAGAGACCATATCCCGCATACAAATCCTCGCCGTCTCACTCTATCCTCTGATGTTATTGTGCACTGCATATCCGGTTCCGCATTGTCTTTAAAATTGGCCTTCCAACGTCGCGACCTTCCCAACGATCGTTTACCGTTAAGATTCTGTTTGATGGTTGTTCTCGATAACGACCGTTGCTCCCGCCACGCTTGTCCGGCCTACATCAAGAGATTTATGCAATCTTTGCAGTCTACAGTTTTTTTTTAACAATTTGTTATTTATACAATGGTTTCGATGAGTTTGGTCAGCAAAACAGACGTGTTATGGCCGAAAAAGGACGCTGATAGGAAAATGGTAACGTCCGCTGTCGGTCGCACATGCAGCTCTGCAGTTATATAATACAGCTACGTGTTTCTCACTCTCTCTCTCACTCTATCTCTCTCTCTCTCTCTCTCTCTCTCTCTCTCTCCCTATAATTTAATATTTTGTTTGTTTTTTAACTTTTCATCGCCATTCGTCATTTCTCCGACTCCGCGTACCGCGTACGGTATATGTAATAATACACTACATATAGGTACTCCGGTAAGTCACAGTCGACGACGACGTGCAGCAGACGCGTATTTATACTGCACAATACGTATACACCGTATTGCGGATAGGGCTGGCGACGAAATCGTGAGCTGGCGGAGGCGGACGAACGCATAATATTATAATAATAAATACCTAGGTATACGCATCATGGCAATGATAATAACGGGGAAAACATGAAGTAGGTATATTATTATGCAAGCGACAGTGCCCAAATTCGAAATGACAAATTACCGCACGCGTGTACCAGGTGATAGGTTGGTACAAATAACCGTTCGCGCAATAATTAAAAATGTATTAAACACTGCGCCGTCAATAATGTTGACGATTAAGTAATATTGTTTCTGGAGGATGTGCGCGCGTTTTTTTTTCAATAGGACCACAGTGTAAACATAATAATCGTAAGTTTTCGAGTAGGCTTAAACCACGAATTACCCGTAGCAGCACGACATCACACGGACATTTGGATCGATAATAATTATTATTAACTATAGGTACCGATCTAACAATAATTTTATTATTCCGTCTAATATCTCGTCATCGGATAGACGTAAATTTAAAATAGGAACGTCACTTGCATAATTTTTAATATAGATTGCAATATGAAAATAGTAGATAGGTATTTCACCCTCTAAAAGTAACGGTGACAAAAAAATAATGGTAGTATCACATTTTAGATGTTTGTTCCACAAATAATCCGAAATAAAAAAAATTACGAGAAAATTGGTGGTTTATCGAGGATATTTATCACTATGTTTAGGCATGAAATTGACACGATGAAATTATCTACTTTCAACATTAGTATGGTAACTGATCAGAGAATAGTGATAGTGTGGAAGCGAAAATAATAATAGTCCGTTTCAATAAGTCAGGAAAAAAAGTGTGGGTCCGATTGAAGAGAGACATTTTTTTGTTTTACTATAGTATTTGCGATTTCAGATTCTAAGCGGAACGAAGAATGTATTGGTTTTACAATGATGTTTTTCTTTTTATTATTATTATTAATTATGAACAACTTTTCTGACAGAAATCTTGCTTCGATTTTCAAGTGTAGCGATTTTCTGCAAAGAAATTTTATCTGGATTCTTATTTTTTTGATTTTCCAAGAGGTTTTCATAAAAATTAAACAAAACCGGGAAAAACGTAAGAAAACGACAACATTTACAACATGAATATTTTTTTGTTGTTATTCAGTTAAAAATATTCATAAAAACTTGAATTTAGATAAAATACTCATATTTTAGTTTTCTAGATGTAGTATATTTTCAAAACATTTTAGCCAATTTCGAGCCGTTTATAGACATTTAAATTTTGCGAGTTTTTTACATAATTGTTATTCAGTTTTTACTCTGTAGATAATATTATTAGACCAAATAGAAATGCTTGAAAATCGAATAGAAGCATTATCATAAGTCGTACTTTGTAGTTAAAAAAAATTGAGTGTGATGTGCATTTCTTTTAAAAAAAATTTTTAATATCAAATTTTGACCAAAATCGTAAATATTACGGCCTTCTAAAACGTATATAACCGAATTCCACTCAAAATCGTTTTTCGTTAGCAATCTGTAATCGTTGCGTGCAGAGATACATTAAATTATCCTTTCCAACTTCACACCTACAACAGTGGGCCGCCCATCGTGTGAAGTATGTCCGTCGTTTTCTTTTGTGTTTGTCTTAAAACACTTTTTTCACCAGAAATCTTGCTTCAATCGAAAACTTTCTTTTTTATAATTTTCGATCTAGTTGGTATATTGATGATATGATTGATAATTTCATTTTTTAAATGTTCCTCTTATTTTTTCTTAAAATATGAGTAAAACTGATTCATTTTATATAATTTGTATTGATTTTCAAGTTACCTTGACAGCAATAAGAGGTCAAATTCGACTAATATTCTGCCCATAATCGTTTTTCGTTACCAATGATTTATCATTGCTTCCTAAACCAATGGCACACCCATCAGCAGTATCCGTCTTTTTTTTAAATATATATTATATTATAATATATTAACGAACCTGCACATCTATTATTAACTAATATAATATCTCGAAAGTATTATAATAATTTACAACAAAAAGTGAACAAATCGTGAAATAATTATAATATTAGATCATATCAACTGCTTATTAGAACGTGAACACTGCAACGTTGATATCAGGAGAGAGAGATGATAAGTTCGAGTAGGTATTATGGTTTCGATTAGCCGAAGTAATTATATTACACACAATTTTGGCGTATCAAATAGAGTACAAAACTATAAAATATATATTCCCGAAACGTGTATCGTGCAATAATTATCGTAATATTATGTTCAACGTCTAACTCGGCCCTTATTTTTAAAATGGAATCCTCTAAATTAAATAATTATTACTATTCTAACCTACCATATAATACACGTATAATGTTAATGCAGTTTTTTTAGCGTATATATGCTCGAAAAGTTGATACAAGGTTCATACTGAGTTGAAATTTTTGAGTTTTAATACCAACCTAATTGCGATCCTGTTTACGGACTTCCGGTTATCATGTTCGTATTAATTTAGTGGTTGAAATATCATATATAAATACGGATTAATTAACACGTTTAAATTAGTGATGAAACTAACCAATAAATCGGTTGAAAATACCGTTTTTTTTTCACATTCCAGAAAATATCGGTTTAGGAACAATCAGATATCAAATATTCCGATATTCTCAATATCGGCCTATAAATGATATTGGCCTATGCCCATAACTTAGTAGTGTATTTAAAGGTAGAAAATTAAGGAAATATATCTCCCCTCTTGATCTTTTTTTATTTTATTATCTAAGGAACTACATATTTTTTTTTTTAATTCAAATTTCTTTACTTTTAGTAAAAAAAAATGTGCTGGTATCTAGTCAAAAAACTGTGAAAATGTTCTTATTTAAAACGAAATCTATTTTAATCATTAATGAAAGAAAATAGATTATCATCTAAATCAAAGACGTGGTTAAGAGATTAAGGGAATTATATCCCCCTCCTATAGGTCGTGTTTGTGAATTCATACTATTTTACAGTTTGGGTATTAACATCGGATACAAAAGAAAATTCTCTATCAGTGGCATAGCCATAGCTACTCTAAATAAAAAAAAAAAAAGACATTAATGGAAATGATATAATTACTGCCTTTGCTCAATATTTTCTTAGGATGCAGGTGTCAAAGAGGATAGTATTCTGATATTTTATATTATACAGTACAGTTACAAGGAATATGTAGGTACATATTATATTTATTCAATTTATTTTTTTTTTTAAATTCTGAGCGTAGCTAAGAATCGACATTTCTTTTTTTGTTGTAATTCAGTTGAAAGAGACCTGATATTTTGACAGAAATTTATCTTAAACGTTTTCTAGTTTTTTACGTAATTTTTCTTTGGCTTTTCCCACACAAAAACATCCATAAAGAAACATGGGTTTCACCTGGAGGTGAGATCAAAAATCAGATTTATCATATCATAACAGACTCGATGATTAATAATATCATAAAAGATGTTAGAAGTTATCATGGATCATCTGCCCAGTCAGATCATTTTCTAGTTAAAGCAAAAGTACAAATTAAATATTTACCTCAAAAATGGACTAAAAATGTGATAATCTTAGAAAAAAAATCGAGTCAGATGAAATAAAAAATACCGAAATAAATTAAATGCAGAAAACATTGAAACTCTTGGGGAAAAATTAAAGGATGTATTAAAGACGACTGAATTGGAGCACCTAAAGGAAAAAGAAAAAAGAAAAACGCGTTAATGATTTAATGAAAAGTATGAATAGCTTTATCGCTATAAAGCGAAATCACTGATGCTCATAACCCCAAGCGTTGAAAATAATAGAATTTTTGTCAAGAAACTTAGAGAAGCTAAACGTATAATAAGAACGGAAAAATGATTATGGGAAAATGAAAAAATAATGCAGATCGAAGAAAATAGGAATAAACCAAAAATCGTCTTCAAGCAAATATAAAGAAATACAAGGGGATTAGATACATTCTCAAAGCACAAATCAAGAAAAAAGAATGTGAAATATTTATAACAGAAGGAGAAGAAATCAAAAAATAATTTGGAAAGTATTTAGGGAGTTACGCAGCCTACAAACACAATATAGCCACTCACAAACAAAATATTATACAGTAAAACCCGAAGATTAAACCCAACTGACAATGAAATTAGATCGGCTTTAAACATACTAAAAAACAACAAAACACCTGGTAAAAATAGCTTAACTACGGAACTCTTAAAATACTGTAGCGAAGAATTGATAAATAAAGTGGAAAAATTAATTAGAAAAATGTATCATAAAAAAGAAATACCAAAATAATGGTAATCAGCAATAATCTGCTCGATTAATAAAAATGGAGATATTACGAGCTGTCATAATTATCGAGAAATTTCGTTGTTGAGTATAATGTGTAAAGTATTATCAGGTCTTATATTAAATAGAATAAAGCCGTATGCAAAAGATATTGTTGGAGATTATCAATATAGCTTTATCATCATGTGGGATCACACCTTCACTGTTAAACAATTAGTTGAAAAACATTATGAATTCGACAAAGACTTAAATATGCTGTTTATAGAACATAAACAAGCATATCATTTAGGTAATAGCGTAGTGCAATGGAATGCACTTATAATCTTTAGAATACCTGCTAAAACATTGAGAATGATTAAATTATGTATGGATAAAACTAGTTGTAAAGTTAGATTCAATCAGCATTTAGCAGATGAATTTGAAGTCAAAATTAGAATTCGACAGGGAAATTCTATCTTTCCAGTATTCTTTAACGAAGCATTAGAAACAGTAATTAGGAAAACGCAGAACAAATATAGAGGACTACATTTGGAAGACAACGAAAAGCAATACGGAATACTAGCGTATACAGACGATAATAGGATCAGATTGTCAATAAGTAAAAATCAATACCGAGGCTATTGAAAAATAGTAACGACGTCGGACTGCAGATAAACGGATCAAAGATCAAACAGATGGTTATATCTAGACCAATTCCATAATACGGATCACCTAAAAATCGAGAATTATAAATTTGATACAGTACTTATTTTCAAGTACTTAAACATTATGATAAACAGCAAAAACAATAATCACGAGGGTTAAATCAAAATAAAAACAACTGTGACGAACAAATGTTACTGCAGACTAACGAATATAATCAAGTCCAAACAAGTATCGCTCAAATCCATAGGTTCCTAACCAAGGCGCCACGAACTTAAATTTAGGGTGCCGTGAGATTATTTGAAATATATTTTTTAAGAGGAAACGATTTCCACCGTGAGTCAAAAGGCGGGGTTGGGAACCTCTGACTTAAATCGAAAGTCACACAAAGTAGTTATCGGACCAGTTCTTCCGTGTGCGTGCGAAACTTGGCTAACAACCCTAGGAGATGTGAAAAACAGAATATAGCAAAATATTGCTGCCGGCTATGCAATACCGTCGGACGGTCTGACGGATTTCGGCGGAAATCGATTGGTATCGCGGGATTTTAAGGTTACACCGTCCGACGATATCACGCCGATAACGGCGGCGGCGGCGGCGGCGCGGGGCCGAGGTCGGCGCAATGAAAAAACGCCCGCCACAGTTTCCGTAACGCGCCAATAGGTACCGGCCGCGGCTCCGACAGAGCCCCGTAACACGCGTACGCTTCCTGTTTCGCGATCGACGCGGCGAACGAAAATAAATAAATTCGAAAAAACCGCCGCGACAGAAATTAACGATACAATAACCGTTGTCGCAGCGTTATTATCGTCGCTATCGCGGCGATAGCGTGGACCGATCCGTTTCAAGCGCGCGTTACAAACAAGATGCGCACAAACAACGATAACAATATTATTCTCCCGTACGCAATATCACAATGTTCTGAGGTCAATGTCGACGGCGTCGGCGGGAGCCCGGCGCGTTCGCCGGCACATTTTAATAATAATGTAGGTGCCTACCTGCAATACGCGGCGAGTCGTACCACCCCGCGTGTGTTATCGTAGTATTAATGAAACGCAATAATAATGTATAATATGCAATAATAACAATAATGTTATATTGTACAACACGCGCGCGCGCGGTAAAACAATGTCACGATTGTAAATGAAAAAAAAAATAAAAATAAAAATAGTTGCGGCCGACCGGTTTATCGTTTCGTACCCGTAATTGTATTCACGATAAACGTCGTCGTCGCTGCCGCCCGTCAATATTATAATGATACGGCGATAAAAAAAAAAAAAAAAAAAAAAAATATATTATAGGTATAACGGCCAGACGACTCCGAACGACAAGAATGCGACGGCGACTTCGCGGTTACCGCGGTCGTACACCTATATTTACTGCAGGGCGGTGCCCAACCTTCGGTCCGTTCGCGCCCTCCGCGGGCCGCACTTTACACTTCCTGGTATCCACCCGCATCTGTGCGTATAACCGCGATTCCTGGTCCCGAAAGTCGTTTCCGGGAGAGAGAGAGAGAGAGAGAGTGAGACACTTCATCCCCGCCGATCCGCCCCCGCACGGTGAAATCGTCCGCGGGAACCCGAAGCTCCCTACCCGCCGTCCGTCGTACTCGTCGGAAAAAATCCCGCCCGCACACGCAAAGGTGTACGCGCGCTTTTTTCGTTCAGGTTTTCTGGATATAGATAATAACGAAGTACCTATTATGTATATTATCGATTTCGTTTCAAAAACGTAATAATTTATTGTCCTCCAGTTCGACATGATAATATAATATTCAGGCATCGTTAAAAGCGGCGGTGTTGATATGCGGATATTAAATCGCCATTAACACGAATTACATTCACTATTATTAGAGTTCGGGTGTTGTAGGCACTTCCTTTTGTTTCTCTATTCGTCCAATACGCGAAGCTGTACATGTCCATCGATTATACATTTGTTTCGTGCTACGTAGAACACATTTTTTGTTGTTTTTTTTAGGTTTTTCGCCATTTTTTTTTTCGCTCTTTCGCATCATTTTCAGTGCTATTTTTTAAATGTTATTTTCAATGTTTTGTTAAGATTAAACATCACAACTATACATAATGCATATCACATCAGACGTCTGTCATAATATTATCCGTCCAGAGTTCAACATTTTCTTTATTTTTTTTTTTGTGAAATAGTCATCACAAAGACGGTTCGTGCATAATGTATGAAGGCCCAGTGGCGTGTCCAAAATTTTCGGAAGGAGAGGGGACAATAATAAACTTAATAAGAACCTAATTGAAAATATACTACATGAAAAAATCGGTAGTATTTTCGTGACCTAACCAAAGCACGTGTTTTCATAAAAATATTAAAGTCGTTTATTTTTTTGAAAGTGTTTGAAATTTCGAAAAATATTTCAAATAAAATACCTTCAGACAAAAAATTCGTATCTTTAAGTTATTCCATAAAAAAATCAAATCATATTTACTAACCGAAAAATTTTGTTTTAAAATCTAAAATAAATAAATTTATAATTTGTATTTTATATAATATGCGATAGATCGGTACCAGGAAAAATAAGTCTAGAAAATGATTAAATACGGTGACTGCGGAGGAAGGGCCATGGATGGCTATATTTCGTCGGAATAGTATTAGTTTAGAAATAAAGCGTCCAAATATATTTGTCTGAAACCAGTGAAACCGTATTTACTTGGAAAAATATCTTAGTCCTGGGACGTGTACAGTTGTAATTTTAGTTACTTAAAATACGTATGTTTCCGACTTAATATTGTTTCTGCTGCAGGAGAATTAGAGTTTCAAAATTGATTAAAATATACCTCGCATGAGATTACAGTTCCAAAAAATATATTACATAATTTTTCCATACAATTTTTTTTTCCGCTTCAACGATACTACGGTTCCATCATTTCGACCGTATTGTATCATTTTCTACAGTTATCAAGGTTAAAATTCGAACACCGGAATTTCAAAAAAAAAAAAAACAACAACAATAATAATTATAAAATTATGAAAAAAAAATTAAGTTAGTTGTTGCACTCTAATCATCATCGTTTTTCTTTGTTCATTCTTCCTTCTCGAAATGAAAAAGTATGCCGTCGGACTTCATGAATTAAAACATAATATTCAGTATATTTTATAACGACCAAACTATGGAGTAGACCTCATTGTGTGTGCACCCCCAAACCCGGTTAGTGTAAGTGCTGACCGGGGATGACGACAATACTAACGGGGTTGATGAAACAAGAAGGCGAAAACAACGAGTATTTGTATAACTTTAATTATAAAAAAAATGAATCAAAAAAAAAAAAACACATGTAAATGCAAGTAGAAATTAATGCGAATATTTATTGAAATTGTTATTTGTTGAATTTTTTTTTTAGTCTGATAAAAGTAAAATTTGAATTTATTAAAAGTAAATGTTGTTACCTATATAGGTACCATGAACCTAAATTGAAGTTATTTCAGCATTATAAAAATCCAATAACATTTGTAATAAATATTGCAAATAGGTTAAGACAATGCAAATACATATAATGGTTCCATTTACCAGAACATAAAAAATAATGGTGGCACCCGGAATAAAAGGTAGGTATGTAAAGTGTGTGACTAAAGAAATTTATGATGCCCCCCTTGATCACATTTTGAAAGGAACGCGGTCAACACACTATATTATCATTTAACTTGCTTGAAAATTATCATTGCAATCAAATGACTAGATACTAGTTTTTGACTAAACCCTAAAGAAATTTGGCTTTCAATAATATAGGTAAGTACTCGTATAAATTATAAATACTAAAAAAAAAAGTCAAACGGGAAGACATATCTCATTAATCCCCCCCTCTTGTAAATATACCACCAATTTATCGGTTAATAATAATTCGTGGGCACCAACATAGGTGTCGCAACTAAGAGGTTGCTAGCGGGGCTTTAGTATCTCCCAGAAATACCCAATAAGTTGTTTTATAGTATCGACTAAATATTTGTATCCATGTACTTCACAATTAACAAGCAGAACAAATATAAAATACCTAGACAATGCAAGTGTATAAAAAAAATAAAGTTAAACAGATATATTAAAATACGTTAAACTAGGTGTCCCGCGCCCGGTATTGCCCATATCAATTTGTATTATTATTATTTTACCCGTATTCATTTCAGAATTGAATAAAAACAAATAGGTGGAAAGTGGGTACTAAATGTGTTCCATTGTAAAATTTTAATTGTCTAAATGATAATGATAATAATAATAGTAATAATAATAATTATAATAGTTTTCTTTTCCGTAACACCAAAGTAACCTTTGAATAAACAAAACTAAATAAATAAGCAATTAGATATTCGTACCAAATATACTTAAAAACACTTATTTTACCCCCTTAGGGGTCATAATAGTTATTAGTGTGCCAAATTTTAGCCCGATCCATCCAGTGATTTGGGCTAGGCTACGATGAATCAGTCAGTAAGGACATGTTATTTTATATACATAGAATCTATAGAATGTTAAATACGATACATTTGTATATTTAAGATTGTAAATGAAATGTGTAGTTACTTATAATCAGTGTCATGTAAAGGGGATTGTGAGGGTCTTACCCCCAAGGTCTGTGATGTATCTATAATTTGAGCAACCCCAAAGTTGGTGGTCTAGTTGTGCCTATAGTTGTGTGGATACACGACAAATCCCTCATACATCCCAATATAAATTTTCGATTCTTTGTCACTCGGCGAGCACGTCGCTATCTCATCGCAGTCGAAATTATCATCATAAACACGCCCAATCGATCAAAATCGCACATGATATAGCTACACATAATAGACTGTGCCTATAGTAAGTATATTATAATATTTTAGAAGGTATTCACATTACTCTCGAAGTTTATACACTCCCTACGGGACGGACGCTCATACTATAATAGTCGTTATATAAGTCGTATTGTTGAAGTCTGTGTCACGTTTTATGAGCACATATGCGCATACGAGTGATTAGAGAGTTT